TTGAGGTCCCTCCCCCTTTCTGTGCTTTTCTTGATTTTTCACTTCAAATTTAATGGGTATAAAGTCTTTTATCCTGGGTAGCCCAAAGATTTTTGAGTGACTTCTTGCTATCTGTTTTTTTTTTTTTTTTTTTTTTTTTTTTCTTTCTGGCTGGATGGTAAAGATCAGTTTTCTTTCATTTTTTGTTTGAGCCTATTATTGCTCATGTTCTTGTTTTTGTGATATTATGGATAATGAGACAAGGTTTTAAAATGGAATGATTTTTCTCTGTTTTTGTACTGATTTCATTTTCAGCCATGTCTCTTCCCTCGTTTGCTTCTTTCTTTTATGAGAATAATAATTTTTCTTCAATAAAGTAGGAGAAGTTTACAGTGTTTAAATAGAAGTTTATGGTTTGAGTCTCAAGAAAATGATTGAATTTGATAAACTATAAACAGAGTCCGGATGGAGATATCATTGACTGTGTACACATCTCCAAGCAGCCAGCTTTTGATCACCCATTCCTAAAAGACCACAAAATCCAGGTTCATTATCCTTTTCCTACTTTTTCCAGTTATTTTAATATGTTGTTCTGATCATTTTACTTGTGTTAATGTTCAGATGAGGCCAATTCAAGTTACCACCCAGAGGGGCTATATGATGTGGATAAGGAATCAATGGGACCTAAAGAAAGAACAGGCTCTATTGCTCAGTTGTGGCACATGAATGGAAGGTGCCCTGAGGATACCATTCCTGTAAGGAGGACAAAGGAAGACGACGTGTTGAGGGCGAGTTCGGTGAAAAGGTATGGGAAGAAGAAGAGTAGAAGCATACCTAAGCCCATGGGGAGTGATCCTGACCTCATTAACCAAAGTGGTCATCAGGTAATTCGTTAACTTTTGTGACCCTAGCCAGTAAAGGACCACAAGAAGGTAAATCAGTCTAGGTTGTCCATAGCTGATCAGCTAAACCAAGAAGCCTAGGATTCGAACTCGTTATCAGCCTAGGTTACCCATAGCTGACTGGCTCAAACCAAGAAGGCTGGGATTGGAACTTGTGACCTTGTGGTTACAAGTTTGTATCTTTAGCCAGCTTGGTTGGGGTTACCCCCTATCAAGAACGTTTCTTGATTTGCCTTGCATTTGTGAATTTGGTTCTGACTGATTTTGTTGATGACTAGCACGCAATTGCTTACGTTGAGGGCGAGAGGTATTACGGGGCAAAGGCCACTATTAATGTTTGGGAGCCACAAGTTCAGCAGCCAAACGAGTTCAGCTTGTCTCAGCTCTGGATACTAGCGGGTTCTTTTGGCGAAGACCTTAACAGCATTGAAGCTGGATGGCAGGTATATTTTCCCGAGACCAGATAGAATACTTTGCTCCATTCCGAGTCTAATGGAATGACATATGTATCATAGGTGAGCCCGGACCTCTATGGTGACAATAACACAAGGCTGTTTACTAACTGGACAGTAAGTTTACTGATTTATTTACTGTAAATTTACAGTCTTTGTTGTCTTAATGATTTCACTGATGTTTCCAGAAAAAATCTGTAGAGTGATACATATCAGGCCACGGGTTGCTACAACCTCCTTTGTTCTGGCTTTATTCAGACTAACAGTGAAATTGCAATGGGTGCAAGCATCTCTCCTGTTTCTGGCTATTGAAACTCCCAGTACGATATCAATATTCTTATCTGGAAGGTAAATTCCAAGAATTTTTCCCCTTCAGATTTCAATTAAGTGGCGGGCACCACCCACCACCTCTTGGACCGAGTGAAGTTTATATGGTTCACTTGAATAATTATTGAACATTATTGTGCAGGCAAAGTAGCTGAGCATATAATCGAGTAACTGTCACGATTAGAGTCGTTACTCACTCTGTATTACTTGTATATTGTCGAGAAATTTAGGAATGAATGAATTAAACACTGTCTCTTTGTATTGTACATTATCATTACTGTTGCACATACTGTTCCACTTGTGGCCGAAAACCTCGAGGGCCTTGTTCTCCACTCCACAGTATATCACTTATTTAGCTGAAACAGTTGAATGATTACAACTTTTGGGCACTTTTCCATTGCCAAAATTACTACTTTTTTTGAATACTTTTTGGTCTTTCTTGTAGGATCCAAAAGGAGGGAACTGGTGGATGCAATTTGGGAACGACTACGTTTTGGGCTACTGGCCATCGTTCTTGTTCTCGTATTTAGGAGACAGTGCTTCGATGATCGAATGGGGCGGGGAGGTGGTGAACACGGAGGCGGATGGCCAGCACACGGCCACGCAAATGGGGAGCGGGCATTTCCCGGAAGAAGGGTTTGGGAAGGTGGGTTACTTCCGGAACATTCAAGTTGTTGATAGCTCCGATAATCTCAAGTCCCCTAAAGGCTTAGGCACATATACAGAGCAGTCCAACTGCTATGATGTCCAAACAGGGAGTAATGGGGATTGGGGTCATTACTTCTATTTTGGAGGCCCTGGTAGAAACCCTAATTGCCCATGAAGCTAAAAAGTAAAAAAAGAATTGTCATCATCTCTGTATAACTCATTCAATGCAGCAAGCAGTCTGAATGTCTAATGCCTTCTCTACCATCTTCTGTGTTAGTTTTATATATTATTACTAGGTTAAGTTAGTAGTAAATAATAATGTGAACTTTTTTTTCTTTTTTTGGTTTGGGAGTTCCTACATGCAAGTGAATGGCAAAGTGGACAAGTTTCTTAAAAGCTTAAAAAGAAACTAGCCTGGCATTAGTTTTGTAAGTTTGACCTCATGTTCACACACCCCTCCCTAGATAAGAAAAAAAAATGTATCAAGTAATATCTTTACACTTGTCAACAATTTAGGGAGGGCAACGGGGCGGGGAAGGGAGTCCCATCCCTGCTCCCGAATTCATCCCCCGCTTCCAAACCCTACCCTGTTCCCTGATGGGATGGGGAATTACCCCCGATTCCCAATTCCCCATCCCCCGATTCCTAATTCCCCAAATTACCCCCGATTCCCAATTCCCCATCCCCCGATTCCTAATTCCCCATCCTATGCGGGAATATTTTTTTAAAAAAATTATACACTATAAAATATTTTTTTTTAAAATTATATAATTAATTTATAAATTTACATGTTTAAATATGCTGGTTTAAAAAAAAATCAATTAACTTAAACTCCAATCATCTAAAAATAATAGTACAAAATACTTAAAACATTAAACAATACTTGAATATTCAAAACTTAAGTCCTTCACCAAAATACCACATATCTATACATAATAACTTGAAAAAAAAAAAAAAAAAAAAAGAATCAAAAGTCCAAATTAAATATTAGTTCATTTAAATATTAACATATTATGCCAATGGGATCTAGTGTCATGAAGTGGCTTTCCCATATGGGAGGTCATGGGTTTAGAAAGTAGTTATGAACAGATATTGTAGTGTAACAGAGTCAGTAGTACTTAAAAAAAAACATATTACATATAATTATATAATATAATATATATTTCTGGGTCGGGGTTGAATTGACATCCCTAGTCAATATTACTTGTAACGAAAGGAAAATGTAATACTTTTGATTAAAAATGTAATATTTTACATAAAAAAAATTAAGTATTACATTTTAATATTGATTCGATCTAACTCTACTCGTATCATAAATAAAGATTCATGAAACAATCTTACACAAGTATGACCTCAAATAAATTTCCCTAGATACTGTGGAAAGGGGAAATAGACTAAATAGAGAAATAGAGAAATTTCATTCCTTAAAAAGTTGAGGTACATCATAACCCTTTCTTTTTGGAGTATTTTCCGGTTAATTTGACAAAAAAAAAAAATAATAATTGTTTGGAAATAAGGAATTTGAACCCCTCCAAGTCTTTGATTTAAAAATTATGTGTTTGCATTTAACATTAAGAATTATGTGTCTCTAGATAAATTAAAGACATAACTATAAGCACACAACACATTAACTGAAGGTACATAATATACCATTATCATTGTTCAAAAAGTATGAAAGGTTGTAGACTTGTTGGAAATAAGGTTGCTACTCTCAAGGCTCTCGCGAGTATATAATTTGCTTAACCCTTTTTATCGTGCCTTCTTAAACCTTTTATACAAGCTAGGAAGACTGAAACGCTCAGCCTATCATTAATGCAATGAATGAAGTTATAACTTATAAATGCCATAAATGCCTTTAATCATAAGATGTTATTCTGGCTTGTCATCTCCTTCGCGACGAACCGTCTCCCTCAACGATCGATCTCATCATTATCCTTAACTCCACACTGATTGCCTCATTAAAGCTCTCTCGTTGGGTACTCAAATCACTCTTCACATTATCAGACCGATACGGTTGGTTGCTGCATTCACGTTGTTCTTCTAGCTAGTTGGCCATCTCACCCAAACATCTTTTCTGATCGATTGGCTTCTCTAACCTTCCTTATAAGCGACTGGCTTCTCCAACCTCTCTGCCCCTCATAATCCGGCCGATCTCTTTAACCGCTCGGGCCCTCCAACTGATTAATTGAGCCACTCAACTCCACCAAGTTGGTCGACTGATGCTCTTATCCAACATCTTAACACAGTGCTTCATCTACCCCGACGGGTCCTCGACGTGGCTAGACCAACTCTTCCAAGGTTGTGCAGACTCCTCCAAGGGCATATCAACTCCATCACTCATTCCTTTTTTGAATCCCTCAACTGGCCTTGTCGTTTTCTTGCTATATTCTGGCGAACTTCCTCACCCCTCCTCCTTGTTGTTCCGCCTACCAGTGTTATCCTTCCATGCTCAGCCGCTCAGGTCCATATCCCATCAATCATATTATATGTGCCAGTAGTTAACTTGTGAACATTTTAAACTTTTGGACCACACCAACTGTTTGAGATTGGATTGGTAAATAGTTTCATGCCCAAGAGATATGGGTCTTCCATTGGGCCAACTCTAGTGACAATTTCTGTTTCCTTTTTTCTTTGTAGTTAAATGTAAAGCCAGCAGCCATAAAATAATGCTGTGAGTTTTAAACATTAAACATAGCATGAAATCAAGGGAAGCAAATGCACAAATAAACACAATTTGGAAACGGTATTAACATCAAAATGGGATGAGATTAGAACAGCACAGCCCAAATTTCTACTCCCTCAACACTATCTTCTATTACTACTACATGTTGGTTACCAAAAGGGAAAATATCAAATCAATCTCCATCTCCAGCCTCTTATCTTTTCCTCTCCCAAATCTCATTCCGAGTCACTTTCCATGCTTCCCATTGCCTTTAACCCTCTTGGCTTCTGCAACACAAACAAAATCCAAAAAAAAAAAAACGACTCTTTGTTAACATGGTAGATAGATCAAAACAACCAAATTTTAAAATAATAATAATAATAATAATAATATGTATGAACAATGGCTAAATACCTTCTTGGAAGTCTTCTTCTCCCTCACTTCATACCTCTCCTGGCACAGATCCGACAACCATGTACCTGGAGTCACCAACTGCGAGAAAAGAAAGGTGGGAATTTGATTTGGAATGAGAGAGAGATAGATTACAGAGATATCAGAACAACCCATATTGCAAAAAGTTGTGTTTTCTTCTATAGATCTGTTCGAGAACGAACACTTACAAGAATGGTTCTTTGAATCAACTTTGCCCTCTTCTTAGGCCTCTGAGGAAGTTTACAACCTTTCATGGCCATGAAATCTTCTTCTTTTTCTTTACTGGATAACGTGACAAGCAGTTTTGGCCAAACCACCTTCTTCTTCTCCTCCCTCGAGTCCATAAATAACTTGCTATGCTCATCCAATCCTACTGATCCTCTCGTTGTGTAATATCTATCTTCTTTCTCGGGCGACAATGCTGTTGTCTTTTTATTCTCGTTGTTTCCATTAGATCTATTCGTCCCCAGATCCCTATAACAACATCATAAGTTATACCCAGGAAACGTTTAGCACATATTCAACCCGGTAGACTAAATAAATCCGTTTTCGAAAATTTGGAATCTACCAACAGCTATTACTATACCCCCTATCCAACCAACCAGATAAATAGTATACAATTCAAAATATAAAAGAATCTTTAGACCTAGCCAGGAATTACAGTCACCGTTTTCCAGAAGAGATGACACAATATGTATGTATTGACCAGACTGAACCCATTGTAAAAACTCTATACTCTTAATTCAATTCAATAACATAGTAACTCTGTATCTACTCAAAACCCCATTTTAAGAAAAACCCTTTATTAGCAGCTTTCCAACATTTTTAGTAAATGATTACAAAATCAAATCTCAGAGAATTTTCAGGGAAAAAATCACTGAAAAATTAACAGAGAGTACACAAATCTCTATCTGTACTGGAAAGTCTAATCAAGATCCAAACTTTATCCTATACAGGACCACTAAAAACACAAGAATGAGTGTTCATTCATTCACAGTTTATCCCACAAATTTTCTCAATAACCTAAACAAGAATAGAAACAGTATTTTATCACTAAAAATAATGCATTTATCAAAACTCAAAAGTAAAAAATAATCTCAGTTTCTTGTTGTTACCTGTTGATACGACAAGGAGATGAAGCAGCAGCAGCAACATTAGCCTCTTTGCTATTATCAACAACTCTAGATGTGATTTTCCTCTTCACCACACCCCCATCAGATTTCCCATTTGAAACCGATTCCTTCACCTTCATACATCTCAGTCTTTTCCTACTCCCCCACTGTAACTTATCCATACCCCTCTTCTGTCTCTCAAGAATATTTCTGTATTCTATATACCCTTCAACCAGAAAACCATAAAGGCCGTGAATTTATACAACAGATTTTCACAGGAAAAACACCAAAATACAAAAACAAAAAGTTCACTGAGTCCTACCAATAGATCTGCGGAGATGACTTCAAATACTCCCCAGAAAATGTCTGCACTTCACGAAAGAAAAAATAAAAACATTGGTGGGTATTGTAATTCCAATGAAAATGGATTAAATACACGGAGAAAAGATGATTACATGAGACATATAACGAGGGAGAGCAGAAAACAGTCAAAACACCAAGAGAATTATGAGAAAAAGATTGGATTTTTAAGAAAAAAATAATTTTCTTTCTCCTGGGAAGAAAGCAATGTTCTTTCTCAGGAAAATTGAGAGTAAAAAAGAAGAACAATTCCAATCTCCTCCAAGATCTTGTCTTTCTCTCTAGGAATCAGAGGAAGAAGCAGTTGATGTTTTGATATATATTTTTTGCGTCTCCTCCTTAGTCCTTACAGTTGAGTGGTTTCTCTCTTTCTTTCTTGGTAAAGAGTAGATTTAACTGAGATAAATCTTGGCCGTCGATGATGAATGGACGGCTAGATGGAATTCCCTCCCAAGTTCCAACTGACATAAGTATTAAGTAGCCTTGTTTAGGATATACGGTCACGTGACTATCACGCTCACTCGTTTTTTTTTTTTTTTTTTTTTTTCTGCAACCCCTAATTTTTGAGATTTATTTGGGGAAGTAAACCGATTAGAAAATCATTAATTACTAATTACTAAATAATTAATTACTGACATCTTTAAATTAGGTTAAGGTTTTGTAGAGTGGGAAATGACCAGTACTATTAACGAACTTTAGGGATAAGGGTCAAATAAGCTCTTAGAGCATCCACTATAGTGGATTATTTCAAGTTTTTTTCAGAATGAATTCTTCCAAAACAAGGAGCAAAGCTAGTGTAGAAAGGAAATAATTAAAAAAGAACTCTCCTGCAAGGAGTTAGAATAATTCAGAATTGGTGGGACCCACCAATATTTACACCAATGGTGACAGCTACGCATGGCTGTCACCATTGCACTCGGCCAGCCTAACAATCATAATTTTTTTTAATTTTATTTTAAATTCAATTTTTCTTTTTCTTTCTTTTTTTTTTCTCCCCTCCCACATTCTCTTTCATAATCACTCTTACATTCTCCCCACATTCTTCCCAACTGATAATGTTGCTCTTAAAGTATATTGATTTGTGCAATTAACCTCTTCAACTTCAAAAAGCTCCAATCATAACTTCAAACTTACAAAAAAAAAGTATAATTAGCACTATTTTACAAGTTGTCTTCAGGTTATCGGTCAACTACTTGATGATTGAATTTTTATAGCATGAAAGAAGGCATCGACTGCCTCTGAAAGAAAGCAACGACGGATTGCCTTCTTCTAAAAGGAAGCGATGGCGACAAGCAAATGGAGCAACGGCAACAGTAACACAGTAATGGTGGCTGAAACGGAAAAGTTTGTTTTGATAATAATAATAATAATAATAATAATAATATTATTATTATTATTATTATTATTATTATTGTTGTTGTTGTTGTTGTTGTTGTTGTTGTTGTTGTTGTTGTTGTTGTTGTTGTTGTTGTTGTTGTTGTTGAGATAAACAAGAACAAGAAGCAATAATAATGGCTAGAAGGGTAAAGAAGACAAGATTTACGTGGTTCGGCAAGGTGCCTACATCCACGGGAGTGAAACGATTCTTATATTCATAATAATGGTGATAGTGGTGACACAACCCCTTAGGGATACAACCAATATATTTATAAGCATCTAATCACTGTACACAGGGTCTACCCGTTTCACTCCTACTCCTAGGAGACAAACTCATATTCCTAATCCATATATGAGACAAACTCAACAATCTCCACCTTGGCGAATATGTTCTTTAGGAGAAAAGATAACTCAACAAATCTCCACCTTGACGAATATGTTCTTTAGGAGAAAAGACTTATCTCACCATCTCCACCTTCACATATATGCCATTTAGGAGAAAAGACTATCTCCACTTGGTGAATATGCTCTTTAGGAGAAAAAGATAACTCAACAAATCTCCACCTTGGCAAATATGTCCTTTAGGAGAAAAGACTTATCTCACCATCTTCACCTTCACAATTATGCCCCTTAGGAGAAAAAAACTTATCTCACATATACACATGGGTAGGAACAACCATGCTCATCCCAACTAGCCAGCTACATGCATACGCAGCATCAAACGTTACCCAGTGCATGTACACGAATTGCTTTGTTCCAAGCCATTCGCCCCTCAGCCGCCGACCTGTTATACCGCCACGACTCATGCTAATTGTCTCGTTCAGCTGGCCTCCTGCATCCGGCTCATACCAGGTCCATGTTCCCTCCTGGTATCCACGCTGCCCCTAACACAACAGCGCCCCTGCAAAGTCACACTAAGCCTGTGTGCCTTGCCCAATGCTCCACTAACCAGCAGTTGTCACTGGTTAGCAACACGCACCACGCAGCATCAAACATTCCCAGTGCATGTTCACGAACCGCTTCATCCTGAAGCGTCCGTCCATACCAAACCCATATCGGCCCTAACCAGTGCCATACCAGCACATACCGAGCCCATATAAGCCCATCCGATACCAGGTCCATGACCCCTCCCGGTATCCGCGCTGCCCAACACTACAGCGTCCCTCACCACCTTCTCATCTAGCATCTAGAAACACCCAACAAGTCCAAACAATGTTCGAACTTGTTACTAGTTACCGCTAGAACATCACCTTCACTATAATAAGAGTCATCAGCTTGAACCACGTTCATAGCTTCTTGGTTCTTCAAATCCTCCAAATCAGCCTCTTCCAGATTAGTTGATTTTTCCGCCTTCAAGGTTTTTAGAAAGCCTTGGTGTGTCAACGAATCTTTTACCTTAGACTGCCACAATCCAAAAATCCTTATACCATCAAACTTTGATACCTCGAATTTTGTACTTGAACTAGCCATCTCAACTATGCTCTGATACCAATTTGTTGAGATTAACAAGAACAAGAAACAATAATAATAATGGCAAAAAGGTAAGGAAGACAAGATTTACGTGGTTCGGCAAGGTGCCTACATCCACGGGAGTGAAACAATACTCTTATTCATAGTGATGGTGATTGTAGTGACTCTCAGCGATTGGGATTCCAAGACTCTTACTTTTCCGCAAATCTGCAACGTTTTCCACCACCAACCCATGGTCCCCGAGGAGCTTCTCGGCGTCATCTCGGACCCCAACGCCGACGAACGTGAATCGGGGATGAAGAGAATGGCGTTGAAAGTTCTGGGATGGGTGATGGAGAAGCCATTGGAAGTGACTCTCAGCGATTGGGATTCCAAGACTCTTACTTTTCCGCAAATTGAATATGGTCTGATTGATGCATTTGTTTCTTTACAAATTGGTATCAGAGCATAGTTGAGATGGCTAGTTCAAGTACAAAATTCGAGGTATCAAAGTCTGATGGCATAGGAAATTTTGGATTGTGGCAGTCTAGGGTAAAAGATTAGTTGATTTTTCCGCCTTCAAGGTTTTTAGAAGGCCCTGGCGTGTCAACGAATCTATTACCCTAGACTGCCATAATCCAAAATTCCCTATACCATCAGACTTTGATACCTCGAATTTTGTACTTAAACTAGCTATCTCAACTATGCTCTGATACCAATTTGTTGAGATAAACAAGAACAATAAGCAATAATAATGGCTAGAAGGGTAAAGAAGACAAGATTTACGTGGTTCGGCAAGGTGCCTACATCCACGGGAGTGAAACGATTCTTATATTCATAATGATGGTGATAGTGGTGACACAGTCCCTTAGGGATACAACCAATATATTTATAGGCATCTAATCCCTGTACACGGGGTCTACCCGTTTCACTCCCACTCCTAGTATGAGACAAACTCATATTCCTAATCCATATATGAGACAAATTCAACAATTATTATTATTATAATTTATAGCACCGCATGCGTAATATTATAAAAAAAATCCAGAATTAGCAAAACCATTCGATCTTTTACTTTCTGAAAAAAATAAAATTCACTCAAGGTAAATGCATTATTTGCACAATCCAATTTGATTTTTTATATTTTGAAACAACTTTTAAGCAAAATTATTCAAATGCACCAAACGGAAAGTCTTGTGATGATGTCTAACCTCTTGAATCTTGAGTATCTTCTTGTTTTATAGGGCACATCAAGTTTGTAAATGTATAAATGATACACATCATTTTTTTAAAAATGAATTAAGACTCACTAACTTATACTTAAAATTTCCACCGTTAGATATAAGCACCTCAGCTCCATTCCCAAAAGAAAATCAAGGATTGAACCCCTGACCTTTGGTTATAAGAATGGATAAATCCATTCCAGGGTCGGCCCTGGGCATATTTGCCCAGGGCCATTGCACAGTTGGGGGCCCCATCATGCATCATATGTGTATATATATTATATAGCAGACAGCGCTGTATAATATATATACATATGTTTTTATTATTATTTTTTAAAACAATTTGGTCCCCAAAATTTAGAGGTTCAATTGTAATATATATACATATGTTTTTATTATTATTTTTTAAAACAATTTGGTCCCCAAAATTTAGAGGTTCAATTGTAATATATATATATATATATATATATATATATATATATATATATATATATATATATATTACATGACCTGTTGTATAATATATATATTGCATAAATATGTATACTTTTTTTTTTCTCTAAATGTGCCCCTAAATTTTGGAGGCTTAATTGTAAAAAATAAATAAATTATATACATATATTATATATGAGATTATAAGGCTAGAACAATATTGCAGTAACCATGCACTCACATGAATGAAAGTATGAAACATCATCATAAATTTCTATTACTTTAAAATTTTTACTTTGATATTTTCGTAATTCAATCCCTAATCTTTATTTTTCATTCTTTTCCTATTCTTTAAAGAAAATTTATTTGATGCTAATCTCCATAAAGAAGATCAATGTGATTGTGAGACGAAAAAAATTTAAATGATAATTTGCACAACAATGATAAAAATGATAAGAATGTTAATGTTATTGAGACTATGGTGGTCACAATGATAAACCAAATTATTCATTTTTATTTGACATACTAGTTCTTTTACGCGCTTTGCGCGAATGGAATAATGCCTAATAATTATTTTTAAACAAGTATTTCAAAGTATATCAATGCAATATTATATCGGAAATGTTCATACATAGGTAAATAAACATTGAATTTGTTTATTTAAATTAGTAATTTAAAGTATATAAATGCAATATAATATATGAGAGATTGATTATATTGTCACTAAAATAAATGTTTGCAACTTTGTAATAACGCTAGTCTAAATACTTAGTCTAAAAACGATAGTCTAAATAAATACTACTTTTGATTTAAATTTCTCTAATTCTTCTCAATTCTCTTTTGGGTAGCATTGTCATTGTCTTCATCTTCAGTACATGTCATCTTTTTTTTTCTTTTAATATTGGTAGTGTGTCATGTGCAATTAGGTTATTGGTGGTAGCATAGATGGATTCATCGTGCAATGAGATTATGGTGTAGGAAGCTTTAGATTTGCATTGTTGTGTATATGATGGGATCTTAATTGTGCTATATAACTCTTTTATCTTACAAGCACCTATTGATATTTGGTAGTGATAGTTTTTCCCCTACATGTTTCATGCATTGTAAGATGTGTGTAGTAGGTTATCATGTGTAGTATTGAACAAAATATTAATATTTATTATATTTGTATAAAATACTTGGTAAATAAATATATATAACATATTTTGTATTATAACTTTGATACGGAATATTTAATTACAGGATAATAATGTAAAAAGAAGACAATGGAAAGATAATATAACTAATGAAATAAAGAATAATTTTGTCCGATAAAAAAAATAATAGTATAACATTTGTAAAGTAATATACAATTCTACTATTATAAAAATACATACAAAAAATATTAATATCATAACGACCTAAATCATAACAATAATGCAAAAGTATAATTGAAATATTAAGTTTTGTTCTGATCTAAATAATCAAAAGAACATTAATTAAACGAAAAAAAAAACTTAACCTAAATTTTTTTAAATGCATAAAAATCAAATGATTTTTAATGTTCTTGATTTATAATCTTTGATACTTAACTTTGAATGTTATGTACTTAGTCGGACTAATTATTTGAGTATTTGACCAAAGTTTATGTTAAATTATATATATATATATATATATATATATATATATATATATATATATATATATATATATATATTTTTAAATATTCGTAGTATATGTTTAACAATTATGTCAACTCTATTAAGACCTTTCTTATATAAATTAATAAGTTTATACTAACGGAATTCAGGTTATTTAAGGGAAGAAAATAATATAATAGATGGTAAATAAGGAAAATCATTAAAAGAATACTAAAATCAAAATAATATGAACCATTCATTTTAAGAAACAATAGGACCGACATTTTTTTGTTCCAGTTAAGGGCCTAACATTATTGACTCTTATTAGAATTGTAGATATAATCCAAGCAATTGGGATTCCCTTGAACAGGGTTGCAAAAATCGCGCCTAGGCGCTAGGCGGCGGCCGACCGCCTAGAAATTCGGCAAAATCGCCGTTCTAGGCGGTCGGCCGCCTAAGAGCCGAGTAGGTAGTCGTTAACTAGGCGGGATTTTAAATAATTTTTATTTTTTTTAATTTTAAAAAAAAATCAGGCGCATAGTGACGTTTTCAACATTGTCCTTGACTCTATATTAATATATAGAGAAAATTTCAATTTTGGTCCACTGACTATTGGAGTTGTTTTAATTGCAACACTTGACTTTCAAAAATGATAATTTAGTACCTTGACTATGCAATTTCTATCAATTTTGGTCACGCCGGTCAAATTGCCGGCCAAATCTCACCGGAAAATTTTAATAGGGCAAATAATGAGGGTATTTTAGTCATTTTACTCATATTCTTTCTTCTCCGATGAACTTCCCTCCATTTCCGGCGAGATTCCTTTTCCGATAAGCTTCTCCGATGGTTATATTTATAAGGTTGGTGTGGTTCTAATTCTATAAATATAAAGAGCTAATTCAGAAAACGCAATTTATCAACCATCGCTAATCAGATTACCATTACTATAACCATTCACAGGAACTGCAAAGGAAAGTTTGCTATTATAATTTATAACAAAGAGACCACCCTCATCAACATTTTCCTCCCAACCCAAAGAGCGCAGAAATGCAGCCTCTTCCTCTGAAATTGCATCAGGACTGGGATGAGTCTTACCATTCTTAAGCTGTTTCTGCTTTCTCCTCCGCCACGCCTTCCGGCACAGCCCCACTGGGACCCGGTAAAATGCGAGCACCAGGAAGTCCAGAACCGCGCAGGGGCAGCAGCAGCATACCATCGCGCACTCCGCCGCTGTTCCCTCGGCGAACTTCCCAACCGGGCGGTGCACCCTACCCGGTGATATCTTCGCTTTTACTTTTCACCTTTTAAGGGATTTGAAAACAAATTATTTTGTCCAATTATGGTATGACTTGGTCAGATACAGACCATAATTTTGAAAAATGGAAGGCCTTTATCCATTAATAGACATCGTGTAAGCGAATTATGTTAATTGAATCAGACATTCACCTGCACGGAAGAAGAAGCTCACCGGAAATGGAGAGCTCATGGGAGAAAAAAGAAAAAAATGAGTAAAATGACTAAAATACCCCCATTAGTTGCCCTATTAAATTTTTCCAGTGAGATTTGGCCGGCGTGACCAAAATTGATAGAAATTGCATAGTCAAGGTTCTAAATTAACATTTTTGAAAGTCAAGTGTTGCAATTAACACAAGTGCAATAGTCAGTGGATCAAAATTGAAATTTTCTGTTAATATATATTTTTGTGGAAAGGGGCCCAAATTTAAATGTTGTACAGGACCTCTATTTTTATTGGAACAGCCCTAATCCTTTCCACTCAATCACACCCTCCAAGTTAATGATACACATAATTTATTGACTAATTATTTGTCGATCTATAAGTTAGTTTGGTTAGATTAATTATAAGCTATTATAAGCTTTTATTATGGTGGTATGCTTCTTTGTGTTGTATCAGATGATCTATGATTTGGGAAAGAGATTAAATATACGTTGATAACAGAGTTTGTTGGTGATTAGAATCTTCAGGCAAGAATTTTAAATTAAGAGACTCCCCTTGATTCAAGGAATTCCTAGTTCAACTACTTCAAGATTCAAGAGTCCTGATGGTGCACTAGAGTTTTTTGCACTTTTAGTCCCACGACTATAGTGGCACTGACAGAATTGATCCACGACTTTTGAACCTTGCAATTTTAGTCCACGACTATTGATTTTTTTGTAAAAATGGTCCTTCCGGCCACTTTTCCATCAAAATTTCATCGGAAAAAAAAAAAATTCTCCATTTTTAGCCGGGTTAAAATTGACATTTTTACTTATCTCAAAAAATTAAAAGAAAAAAATTGATATTTGACTACATACAATATTATTGGGCTACATACTACTGCCCCAGGCAGCGGGGTTCCTGGAGCAGGCAGGGCTGTCAGTAAGCGGTAGAGCGGCCGTGGCGTTCCCCGGGCTCCGGCAGCAGCATTGGAGTGGTACATGTACTCCACCGCCTGGGACAGTAGTATGTAGTCCAGTAATATTGTATGTAGTCAAATATCAATTTTTTTCTTTTAATTTTTTTAGATAAGTAAAATGTCAATTTTAACCCGGCTAAAAATAGAGATTTTTTTTTTCCGGTGAAATTTTGACGGAAAAGTGGCCGGAAGGACCATTTTTGCAAAAAAATCAATACTCATGGACTAAAATTGCAAGGTTCAAAAGTTGTGGATCAATTCTGCCAGTGCCACTATAGTCGTGGGACTAAAAGTGCAAAAAACTCTGGTGCACTATTTAAGTGAAAGCAGATAAGCTCTGAAAGTTGCTCTGGAAGTTATCTCTCACGCCATTCTCTATCTATTTTTCTTACAGTATTGTTTTGATTAATTCCCTGAGTATTTATATAGTAATTTAATTCCGAAAATTGTCTTTGCATGAAGTGAATGTTACACGCTGTGAAAAGTAAAGACATGTCCTGATTGTAATATGTGATTATCTAGTGGAGTTGAATTTCACTTTTTTAAGTGGCCCCGACATAAAAAAGAAAAAAAGTTTCCTCCAAATTGCGTAAACATATTTGGTGTTTTCTAGTTTCTTGCATTTATTTTTGTTTATCATTCCTGCAATTATTGTGTCTGACACAGAACTTAACTCAAATAATTAATTGAATTAAAATTGAGTAGGAACCAGGTAAGTAGGGTGGGAATAGGCCATGCCCCTTGTAGGAGCCTATGTCCTAGCCTAATTAAGGTCTAGCTCATTTAGTAAAAAGGTCAGACTTGAATTAATTTCAAAGTCTATTAAACTAAACAGGTCAGACCTATATATACTAGGCTCAGCCTTTAGACCTACAGGCGCCACACACATATATATATACTATTTTATACTTAATATATTTTTATATTTACAATATAACTCTATTGCTGTTAATCCTGCTTAAGTGTTCTAATTGTTTTATTAACTGTTCTTAAGTGTTCTTATTGTTTTTTTTTTTTTTTTATAAATTAACTAACTGTTCTGTCATAATATTTAATAGAATTCGCAACTTAATTATGTGAGTTGATTGTTAATTAATTATGAGATTATATAGGATAACAAACAATAATACAATTAAATTTATTTCTAAATAAGTTAACGACCATGCGAAGTCATGACTTAGATATACTTATGAAAAATAATACTTTATTTTATTTTATATTTTAATGTTATTATTATATTTGCATTGTGGTGATATACTTATGTAATTATGTATTAGTTTTGCATTAAGTATATTTCTTAAATTATTTAGATATACTTTTTTTTTTGAAAGCATTTAGATATACTTATTAAAGTCTTAACATATACGTTATAAACAGACTCAAAGTATGACTTATTTTAATGCTTTTTTAATGACATGAATATTAAACAAGCTTTTAAAAAAGCTTCAGGCTAGGCCAGACCAATTGTACGCCCAGGCTTGAGCTTAACAAAAAATCTACGTACAAACCAATTATGCACCGCAATCCACGATATAACGACTGACAGACTTAAACTCAGCCTAGACCTTAGATTTTCGTAACAGACCCAGGCCTAATTTTTTTAATCTCGACTCTGCTTGACCTATTTTTACCCCCGCAGATAAGTATTTCTTGCATTCAAGACTCACGAATTTAACACGCTTGATTACTGAAGAGAAAGAGTGAATAAGGACATCCAGGCAACTTTCGAGACCATTTGATTAGTGTTATTACTGGTGTGTTGTTGCAAAATGCAGATCAGAATATTTTAGTACACAACACAAATAAAACCACTCAGGGACTGGCTAATAATGTTCCGATGACCCAAAAATCAAAGCTACCACAAAATAAAAACTTCACGTGTTTCGCCGTAAGATTATAGCTCACTCTTATCAGCTTTGTCTCCTGCTGAGGCCTTTCCATTCACGGCTACAAGCTCAGTGTCAAAGATAAGTGTTGCACCACCTGAGTATTCACACATAAAATTTTAGTTGAACTGCAATATGAGAAAAAAAACCCGGGAAAGAATCCTAAAACCACTAATATGCTGCTAAACTTGCTTATCATTTCCAACAATAATTTATTTCCAAGCAGGGAAAGAATTCTGAGACAAATGGTATGATTCTTGTATCATATGCCAATTCAGATATTAAAACTGTTGGATTTTACTCAGTCAAGAAAGGACATTAGTTTGTACTTAATAAAGAATGGTGATGATGCTACCAAAGTTAATGATTACCAAGTTAACATCACATTGTTATTAAAGATTTGAGAAAATTACCGATTTGGTCCCTCGACAATGAGGATTTTACCAATTTGGTACTCGACTACCAAAATTACTCAATTTAGTCCTTGACTATGATATTTTTACCCGATTTGGTCCTAAAGTCAAACCAGTGTGATTAAGGCAATAAATTTGAGAATATTTTTGTAATTGCACATTATGTCCTTTTTCGGCTATCCAAGTTTATCCCATGCTTTGCCTTCCTTTGCCTTCAGACAAACAAAAAACTTCTTAGTGCAAACAAAAAACCCTAATCGCACAATCCAGTCGAAAATTTGAATAATGAGTTGAGAAATCATCTGGAATTCTTCAATATCTAAATCCGCTACACAGTGGTCAAAGTCTCATTTCTCATTTCTCCAGTGTAGCAGACTTAGATGTTGAAGCATTCAAGATGATTTTTCAACTCATTATTCAAATTTTTGACTGGATTGTGCGATTAGGGTTTTCTGTTTACACTAAGAAGTTTTTTGTTTGTCCGAAGGCAAAGAAGGCAAAACGTGGGATAACAGCCGAAAAAGGACATAATGTGAAATTACAAAAATATCCTCAAATTTAATGCCTTAATCACATTGGGTTGACTTTAAGACCAAATCGGGTAAAAATATTATAGTCGAGGATCAAATCGGGTAAAAATGTCATAATCGAGGATCAAATTGAATAATTTTGATAGTCAAGGACCAAATTGGTGAAATCCTCATAGTCGAGGGACCAACACGGTAATTTTCTCTTAAAGATTTAATACTAGAAACAGAAGAAAGTATGATGACTTCATGCTTCTTCACTCTCTCTCTCTCTCTCTGCATGCCTGGGTCAAATGTATTGTGCTTCTAAACAAGAATTTTGGATACCAAGAAAATGATGGTAGTATTATTACCTGGGATCTTAGGTGGGGACCCACTATCTCCATAACCAAGTTTAGAAGGTATTTTCAATTTTCTCTTCTCTCCCACACACATTCCTAGTAGTCCTTGATCCCATCCTGTTGACCAATGAAGCCAGTAAGGAAAAAGAACATATAAATAAAAAGAAAAATATCTTGGTGCCATTGAAATGGAACTCTTTGCACAGAGAAAATTTCAATTTTGGTTCACTGACTATTGAAGTTGTGTTAATTGCAACACTTGACTTTCAAAAATATTAATTTAGTACCTTGACTATGCAATTTCTATCAATTTTGGTCACGCCGGCCAAATTGCCGACCAAATCTCACCGGATAAATTTAATAGGTCAAATAATGAGCATAATTTAATCATTTTACTCCTTTTCTCTTTCTTCTCAGGTTCTCCATCACCGGCGACGATGAGTAAATTAAAGATGAGCTTTGGAGAAAGAAAATATGAGTAAATTAAATTAGTTTAGTAACAACAGATCCTGTCATTGCTCGTTTAGCAGAAATCTTGACGAAAATGAAGAGAACTCTCGCTTTTTCCTTCTTCTTCCTTTTATTGATTTTCACCTCCGAATCGCAGCGATCTCCGCCGACAGTATGCATACTAGGCAGTGGGGTCGGCTACTCCTCCGTCGCGCATTTCCTTCGCTCCTATTCCAATCCATCCCAACCCGAAAATCGACTCCATAAGAATCTTTGAGCGCCATGTTGTCGGCAGCGGCCGCATGGCCACGGTCACCATCGCCGGGATACCTTCGAGACCGGCGGCTCAATTCATCACCCGAAGAACTACCACGCTAGCAACTTCACTAACTTCCTGAATCTCAACGTCAAAACCTCATCATCCAAATCCGATTCCTCGTTTGGCATCTGGGACGGCAATAAATTCATCTTCAAAATCCTGTCTTCGAACTCCAAGCTTCCGATTCGAGAAAATGCTTAAGTGGTGGGGGCTATAATTTGACTAGACGGACTCAATATGCTTTAATTTTCTAATGACAGTGCTGTGGGTATGAAAAGATGAGTAAATGAAGAGAAGCTCATTGGAGAATTGAAGAAATCGTCGCCTGGAGAGTAGCTCATCGGAGAAGAAAGGGGTGGTGAGTAAAATGATTAAAATACCCTTATTATTTAACCTCTTAAATTTTTTCGGTGAGATTTGGCCGGTAATTTGATGGGCGTGACCAAAATTGATAGAAATTGCATAGTCAAGGTACTAAATTAACATTTTTGAAAGTCAAGTGTTGCAATTAACACAACTCCAATAGTCAGTGGACCAAAATTAAAATTTTCTCTCTTTGCACATATAGAAGTGTCTTGTCTGAAGGACAAATACAGTGAAGAAAAAGTCCACTCAAGTTCAATCACATATTTAACACAAGTTTTAACAGCATGGACTAGTAATAAAAGTATAAAACATCTATTAGAGTATTTGACATAAGTATGAAGAAATATTAAAATCAAATTGATCCAAAGAAGATCACAAAGGGTTTGGGAAATAGACAAAAGTGGTTTTTCCATATTGGTTTAAGTATGCAATTAATCCCTATGCGGCTATGCTAATCAAAAGAGCAAATACCAATTTTGGTCCCACGAGTATTAACAAAATGACGGTTTTGGTCCACATGTTTAATTTCTACCAATTTCCATCCCACGACTATTGTTTTAGTACCAATTTTCATCCACGACTATTATTTTAGTACCAAAATTCATCACGTCGGTCACCCCACCATCCAAGACATGTCGAAATCTAAAAATTTTAAGGGTATTTTTGTCATTTTCAACTTAAGACTCTAATTTGAGCATGAATAAAGGGATGTAAGCCCTAAGATCAATCCCAATTGGCAGTTCTCCTCATCATCCTACTTTAATTTGAGGAGAAAAATTGCGAATCGCGATAGATCTTAGGGCTTAAATCTTTTTATTCATGCTCAAATTGGGATCTTAATTTTAAAAAGACGAAAATACCCTTAATAATTTCATATTTCGACATGTTTTAAACAAATGTGTGACTGGCGTGATGAATTTTGGCACTAAAACAATAGTCGTGGATGAAAATTGGTACTAAAGTAATAGTCGAGGATGAAAATTGGTAGGAATTAAACATGTGGACTAAAATTGTCATTTTGCTAATACTCGTGGGACCAAAATTGGTATTTGCTCCTAATCAAAATTATCATTTTAATCCCTATACCATTAAATTTATCAATTTAATCCACGTACTAGTAAAACAGTGATAATCAAGGATAACAATTTCCTTTACTAGACTACATCATTATTTAAAATAAAAAAAATAAAAAAAATAAAAAAAACCACATCAAGTCAAAATTCACATTAGAAGCTTAGTAAGCTGATGTTCTTTTACTTTGCCGTGCAGTAGATGAATTGAAAAACAAAGTACACGGGTGCTCATCATATTCTCTTGACAAGGGACCAACTGAATAAGGGTGGAACCAGAATTTTAGGGGGGCCGGACTAACTCTTGCCATGTAAGGTATACAATTTTCTAATAAAAAGATGGGCATTCACTAATACATATTACACAATTTGGCAATACAAATATAATTCAACATTGTGATGAAACTCAAAGCAATATAATCTTACAACATTAAGGATTAAATGTTGGTACTGTTGGTAGAAAACACAAATAATAATCAAAAAATAAGATTATTATTTTCTGGAAAAAAGGGAAGAAAAGATGAAGAAAAGTGGCTAGTGTTTGGTGTTGGGTTTTTGCAAGAGTCAAGTGAGCACTCTTTCCTTAAAACCTTATTTGCCACCTCCCAAAGATGCTAGGAGCGTTGTGGCCTAGGCTTCCCAGGATAAAACTTGCTAATGATTCAATGTTTGAGCACTCAAACAAGGAATCCGGCGAGCAAGACAATGGCTATGAACACAGTAGGCCAAGAAAGAGTAGAAGCAGAGAGGTTTTGAAGCTGAAAAAACGAACTTTCGTGTTCTATGTTTTTGTGTGTAAAACTCTACTGCCTCTACCCTCTCTTATATAGGGTTGAAGGAGCCAATAGCCTTTATTATGGCAATTAAAAATGACATTAAAGCTGCCTTCCAACAGCTATAACAGCAGGCCACTACCTGGGAATTGAATTCAGAATTCAAAATTGGAATTAATAGACAATTAATTCCGTAACAGATGAATTTAATCCTCTCAACAGTCAGAACTTCCGTTAGCGTACAGGGTTCGGTCTCAACTTTCGACCTCATCCAGTTTCGGCCCTTGCACCTCTCGTGGACTCTGTTGCACGAGAGTTGTGCTCTCGGTGCACCACTACACGAGAGTAGGTGGCTGTTGCACGAGAGTTGTGCTATGCTAGTTGGAATTTGATTTGCACCCCCCCGCGCGAGAGAGCCTCTATACTATACAATTCTACAAGCTTCAAAAGAGCTCTTGTATATAAGGGGGGAAAATCTTCATTCCAAAGCAATGTGGGACAAAAGCTCACTTTTTCCCTTCATTTTCCAACTCAAATGGGTCTACTTTGAGAATCAATATCTCATTCACCCATTATCCGTTTTGAGCGTACAATATATCGATCTCTTCGTCTCACTACGAAGTATCCGAATCCACTTTAACTCGACCCAAATCGGTAGTGGACCCCACTGATAATTGTACCACAAAATAGCCACTTAACATGCCATTTTATGCCATTTTAAGCTATTTTTTCCAACAATCCCCCACATGAATGAAAAATTGATTTTCGGGGTATTTTGAAATCGGAAACAACTGTGTTCAAACGGTCGATTCCTGCATAGGATAGGTAGGGAGTCACTATACCCTTTGAACCTTCCCTCGTGAAGACATGTTTACTCTACTGGCTGTACGGTAGAACGCGATGTCTTTGAACCGACTGCCGTTTGTGTAGACGATGACATATCTCACACAGGAATCTCCCAACCATGCTCTTGCTCTCATGAGTATGCCCGTTTTGGTCGTGGGTCACCGTTCTTGGTTCTGCGAGAGTTTCTAAAGAATTGTGCCCAACAATTCTCCTTTGAAGCGACCCTCACTTCTCTCTAACATAGGTGATTCTTTCTCGAGTATCCCGCATACTCAAGAATCATTAAAGCATTAACATGCTAGCCTCTTGCGGGAGTCACTATTTTAACGAGGAGTGGTAGGGAGTCCGAGACCCCCACAGTGACGCGCTCCGCTCCATAATTTAGTTGTCCCATTGAACCTAGGTGCCAGCTAGGTTGGGTATCCACTATAGAACTTTTCAGTCCAAGGGCATTAGACCCATTCCTCGTGTCAACTTCTCCACAACTTCTCTTCCTAACCCTTTGGTCAGCGGATCCGCTATATTGTCTTTTGACTTTACGTAGTCAATCGAGACAACTCCAGTTGTGAGTAGTTGTCTAATGGTATTATGTCTACGACGCACATGTCTAGACTTACCATTATACATATGACTCTGTACTCTCCCGATTGTGGCTTGACTATCGCAATGCACACATATTGGAGGTACCGGTCTTTCCCAATTAGGAATATCCTCTATAAAATGGCGTAGCCATTCAGCCTCTTCACAACCTTTGTCCAAGGCTATCAGCTCAGATTCCATCGTGGATCTAGCTATCACAGTTTGCTTAGAGGATTTTCATGCAACGGCTGCACCGGCTAGTGTAAACACGTAGCCACTCGTGGACTTAGAGTCCTTAATATCAGATATCCAATTCGCGTCGCTATACCCTTCAAGTACAGCGGGATATCTCCCGTAGTGCAGTCCAAGATCACGAGTATACCTCAAGTATCTCATAACCTTTACTATTGCCTTCCAGTGCATAGCACCGGGGTTACTCGTATATCTACTGAGCTTACTAACCGCATAGGCAATATCCGGCCTAGTACAGCTCATAAGATACATCAGACTACCAATAACCCGAGCATATTCCACTTGTGAAATACCTTCTCTGTGGTTCTTGGTTAGATGATTATTTGTATCAAATGGTGTCCTAGCCACTTGACTATCATCCTTGTTAAATTTCTCAAGGATTTTGTCAATATAATGTGATTGGCTTAACACGAGACCATCAGGTCTCCTAATGATTCTAATCCCGAGGATTAAATCAGCCAAACCCATATCCTTCTTGTCAAATCTCGCATTTACCATGTTTTTGGTAGACTTGATCATCCGATCATTACTACCAACGATGAGAATATCATCGACATATAAACAAAGAATGACGTAGCCGTCTATCGTTTCCTTAACGTAGACACATTTGTCACTTTCGTTTATTTTAAACCCGTTAGTTAACATCGCATGGTCAAACTTCTCGTGCCACTGCTTAGGCGCTTGTTTTAAACCATAGAGCGATTTAACCAACTTACACACTTTTCTCTCTTGGCCCGGAACCACGAACCCTTCGGGTTGTTCCATATAGATTTCCTCATCTAATTCGCCATTTAGGAAAGCGGTTTTCACATCCATTTGATGAACTTCCAAGTTCCGCAACGCGGCTATGGCAAGTATCATCCTAATGGAATTTATTCTCGTCACGGGAGAATACGTGTCGAAGTAATCGAGGCCCTCGCGTTGCCTGTAACCCTTGATTACAAGCCTAGCCTTATACTTCTCGATGGAACCGTCCGGTTTCATCTTCCTTTTAAAGACCCACTTGGATCCTAAGGGTTTACTACCCGGAGGGAGATCAACCAGTTCCCAAGTGTGATTCTGTAGAATAGAATCCACTTCACTTTTTATAGCCTCTTTCCACATTGGTCCTTCCGTAGAAGTCACGGCTTCTACATACGTTCGAGGCTCGTTCTCTATCAAACAAGATAGAAAATCGGGTTCATTTTCTAATAAACAAGTTAGAGTACCCGAATCGTACTCTAACAAGTAAGTTAGAAAATCAGGACCGAATGTTTTTCCAACTCTCGCCCGCTTACTGCGTCTCGTCTCGAGCTCGGGTTCTCTCTCGGATTCCCCACTATCATTATCCATAGTTTCGTCAAACGTTCGTTTTGACGTACTTGGTCCCTCGTTGGACCTACAAGGAAATATATTTTCGAAAAAATATGCATTCCTTGATTCTATTATCGTGTTCTCGTGTACATCCGGATTATTGGACTCGTGTACTAAGAACCGATAAGCACTACTATTATGTGCATAGCCCATAAAGATACAGTCCACCGTCTTAGGACCTATCTTTACTTTCTTAGGTGTTGGCACCAAAACTTTGGCAAGACACCCCCACACTTTCAGGTACTGGTAGGAAGGTTTCCTACCGTTCCACAGCTCATAAGGAGTCTTATCAAGCTTCTTTCGGGGTACCTTATTCATAAGGCAGTTACTTGTCAAAATCGCCTCACCCCAAGCATCTTGAGGTAGGCCCGAACTTATAAGCATCGCATTCATCATATCTTTCAATGTACGATTTTTTCGTTCGGCAACACCGTTCGATTGAGGTGAGTAAGGTGCAGTACGCTCGTGTATTATACCTACACTTGCACAGAAGTCACCAATAGGTGCTTCGTACTCACCACATCTATCGCTTCTAACCTTCTTAATTCTCCGATTAATTCTCCGATTAAGTTGGTTTTCCACTTCATTCTTATAAAGAACGAATTTATCAACGGCTTTGTCTTTGCTCTTAAGCAAATACACATAGCAGTATCGTGTGCTATCGTCGATAAATGTGATAAAATACTTATTACCACCTCTCGTTTGTATCGATGGTTCAGTTTCCCTTTAGCGTACAGGGTTCGGTCTCAACTTTCGACCTCATCCAGTTTCGGCCCTTGCACCTCTCGTGGACTCTGTTGCACGAGAGTTGTGCTCTCGGTGCACCACTACACGAGAGTAGGTGGACTCTGTTGCACGAGAGTTGTGCTCTCGGTGCACCACTACACGAGAGTAGGTGCAAGGGCCCAACTTTCGACCTCATCCAGTTTCGGCCCTTGCACCTCTCGTGGACTCTGTTGCACGAGAGTTGTGCTCTCGGTGCACCACTACACGAGAGTAGGTGGACTCTGTTGCACGAGAGTTGTGCTCTCGGTGCACCACTACACGAGAGTAGGTGGTCTCGGTTCGGTTCTGGCCGAACCAAGTGGCTAGCCGGCGCACACGAGCTCGGGCTTGAATCAAGCCTTTTTCAAGCTCTGCTAGTTGGAATTTGATTTGCACCCCCTCGCGCGAGAGAGCCTCTATGCTATACAATTCTACAAGCTTCAAAAGAGCTCTTGTATATAAGGGGGGAAAATCTTCATTCCAAAGCAATGTGGGACAAAAGCTCACTTTTTCCCTTCATTTTCCAACTCAAATGGGTCTACTTTGAGAATCAATATCTCATTCACCCATTATCCGTTTTGAGCGTACAATATATCGATCTCTTCGTCTCACTACGAAGTATCCGAATCCACTTTAACCCGACCCAAATCGGTAGTGGACCCCACTGATAATTGTACCACAAAATAGCCACTTAACATGCCATTTTATGCCATTTTAAGCTATTTTTTTCAACATTAAATGTTTAAAAAGTAAGATCTAATTAATTAATTCATTGATATACGAATCAAATTTAATTGTTTCTAATTTATTTATATATGAATTGACTTTAGTTAACAAAACTTTTTAATTAAAAAAATACTTTTTAATATATATTATGCTTTTATTTTATATTTGAAATTATATAAAAAGTACAAATTGAATTATTGTATAAGACATGGTTGCAGTAGGTGCTAGGTGCTAGTCGGGCGGTAGAATAACGCCTAGCGCCTAGACGGCCTAGGCGGCTAACTAAAAAAAAGCATTGCACGTGTGTGTGTGGGTATATATATATAATGAAAAAAAAAAAATTAGCAAGGCCTAATCGGCCGAGTTAACTCATCTAACTTGACCGAATTTGGCCGAGTTAGGCGTCTAGGTGGCCGCCTAGGGGGGAAATTGCCACGGCTTAGGAGCACCTAGCGCCTAGGCCGATTTTTGCAACAGTGGTATAAGATATCTATTTCGTCAATCATAAGTAGGTTTAATTGAGGACAAGATTTGAATAATTTTAGGTTAAATTTATATAATTTATTTTTTCTGTACAATTAGTTTAAATTTTTGAATTAAGATCTTAATTTTGAATAATTTTATTTTATTAAATCAGTTCTAACAATTTAATATGAACTTTATTTTGAATAATTTTTTTTTATTAAATCAGTTCTAATAATTTAATATTAAGTTTACAAATTAAAATTTTGGGGGCTAGGAGGGGGGTGGCAGGCAACTGAGTTTGAGAAAGATGATGAGTAGAGGAGGAAAAAGGTTTTGGCCCCGCCTCTACCTTGGTGGTTTAGAGGTGGCTTCTTGATTGATTGATTTATTTATTTTGTTTGCTAAATGACATGGCATCCTAGTCAATCAACCACATTAGTGACACATAAGCAAACTTAACAGTGTTGAACTGACAAAGTCTTCTGAGATTAAATTGACCAATTTAACGGTATAGGACTAACATTAACATTTTTCAATGGTGCTAGGATTACTTGGATTACTTAAACCTTCCATGACTGATATTATTATGTATTCTTTTTGTTAACTCTTGAGCTTGGGGAGTCCTAATGTGATTTTCAAAAAAATTACTCTAGTAGTAAAGGTCTCCCATTTTCCTCTAAAATATTTAATATACCTTTAATCACTTGACCAGTACCAAGCTCAAATTCAATGGGGTCACCCCTTTCATAGCTGGCATCAAATTCAGTTCCATCAGTAAGTTTTCCCTGCAAAGACCAGCAGTAAGCAGGCTACTAAATACAAATAATGCTCATTTTCTCAGATACAGGACGGATCTTTATTAGTGGCAGTATAACTAAACACAGTACGCCAGCTCAAAATACAAACTTAGTAACCATTTTTGCAGGAGTAAATCAAATATCTCATTTAAGTGCAGGTTCCACCATGCTAATATATAAAAATTACTCACTGTCAGTCTGTCACGCAGATAAATTTCAATTTTATAATTTGACTTTTTTCTTTATTATGTGTAAATATCAAGAATAGAAGTACTAGTAGTAATAGTTGTACTCACCCGATAGTGTACTTTAACTCTGTCACCTTTATGAGCCTGGAGTTCACAAGTCTTTGGCTTATACTGCAACAATTGAGCCAAAAGCACAGAAGAATAATAAGGAGCGGGTTCTAAATAAGCAATACATGAAGCAAGTCCAAATATAAAAATCAATATTAAGGGGAGAAATAGAAAAACATATCTCAAAAATTAGATAAGTTATGTCAGTGAAAGCAGGGGGCTTGACCTTGTGTCAAACAATGTGAACTCTAATTTGGGCACATACTTCTTTCTTGATTATCTCTAATGGCAATTAAGAGACCAGAATATATGTGATACACAGTAAGTGAGTAACTAATTAGATGATTAGTGCCAAACTTCCGGGAAATAGAGAGCCTAATATCAAGTGTTTTTAGCTTATTTAATTCAATAATCAATAAGAAATTCTGAGTGGACCATATATTATTCACAATCCGAAGTCATAAATTATACCTAATCACCCTAATCACAATCCACGATTCATACAATATCACCTAATATTCTATCTAATAAGATGAGATATATGAAATCAAAGATAATCAATTCCAGGCAGCAATGCTTTTTGCATATGAATATCATAGAGATTTAGGAGTTATTTGTGGCCAAGTTCTACTACATGAACTCTCAAATTCTACTCCCTCATTTGTACTCCCTGATGTGGCAAGCCTGGATTGGTTATTTTCAACATGTGGGTCCACAGAAAAATGTCTACATCAAAAACATGTGAGAGGGAGTACAAGTGAGAGTATAAAATGGGAGTACACCAAGTATTTTTCATTTGTGGCCCCAACATCCACCTCTTTCTCCACTATCTCACTCTATCACAAATAATTCTTATCCACATCAATTTGAAGTTATTTTTAATTATTTATGACCCCACCATTTGACCCACTATATTTTAATTATTTCTTTATCCATTTTATTTATAAATTTATATTTTATTTCTTTATCTATTTTACTCCAACATGCCTACGAAAATGTACAAAATATTCAAACTGGAATTGTTAAAAAATAATTAAATAAAAAGATAATTAAAGTTAATTACTTAAAATAAATTAAAGTACATAAAAATTAAAATACAAAGCGATTAAAAATACATTGAAGTACATAATAATTAAAATACAAAGCGATTAAAAATAAATTAAAGTACATAAAAATTAAAATACAAAGCGGTTAAATTAATTGCCGCTGTTGCTCCATATATGCTAAACCAAATCCGCGCGGAGTTAATGATGCAATTGCGAGTCATGTAACTAGGCGGAAATGAAGAAAATTGAAGATTACCCGGAAGTTGGGCCTTTTGTGGAAATTGAGAGTTTTGTATAAATTGAAAATTTGGTGGAAATTGAAAATTTGTTTGAAATTGAGAATTTTGGGAAGATGGTTGAGAAAAATGAAAATTGGATTGTGAATTTTGATTGGAAGTATTGTCTTTTTCCATTATGATAAAAGAAATTGAGAGAATAATAGAAATGAATTGAGAGTGGGATAAACTGTAAAAAAATTGTGAAGACATATGGTATTTATAAATAAATAAATAAATAAATATATATATATATATATATATATATATATATATATATATATATATATATATATATATATATATATATATATATATTTTAAGTATCCGTTGCCAGCAACGGCTGGAAATGTGACCGTTGATGGCAACGGATACAATTCTGGCCGTTGCTCGGCCAGCAAAGGCCAGATTTGTATCAATTGAGAGTGGCCGCCAACTGGCGGCCACTCTCAATTGCCCAGCCGGGCGCTTGTCGCACACGCGCCCGCTGGGTGGTCAGTGAGACGCAATTTGCGTCTCACTGCTTTATTTATTTATATTTTTTTAATATTTATGACATTATGCCTTCATTTGCAGGATAATTATTTTTGAATTATCCCCACCCCACATTAGCTATTAACTCTAGTTGGAAAAAATTCAAACTGAAATAACTCCATATTATCCACTAGTGTGGATGCTCTTAAGAATCGAAGTTAGAGATATAATTGGTCGCGATCGGGTCCACGGCTAACAACGGTGAAGCTCCCACGTAATAATACGCATCACTACCCAATAAGGACAGAGACATGATTGCGGTTTGCCATGTCAGCTTCTAAGATTTTTTTTTTTTTTTTTTTTTTTGAAAACAAAGATAATTCATTAATTCAAATCCAAACGAAGGGTATTACAAATGATAGAGGGAGGTTCCGTGAACCACTCCGAGCAACCAGACAAAGAAACGGACTGCCTAGCTAACAGATGGGCCGCCTGTTTCGCAGATCGCTTAGTAAAGATTAAACTGCATTGAGCAAATAAGTTCATAAGATGTTTAATATCCTCTAAAATGAGGTGAAAAGATGAATCTCCAGCATCCGAATTGATACTCTGGACCACTTTTAGGGAGTCAGTTTCAATAACAATGTCGCTGACCGTGAAAGTCTTGAGCCAAGATAGGGCTTCACGAATGGCAACAGCTTCTGCCTCTTTGGAAGAATATATACCTCTCCAGTGAGCTCCCCTTGCAGCCACAAACTGTCCAAGGTCATTCCTTAATACGCAACTGAAGCCCATGCATCCTTCCTCTGTATTAATAGCCGCATCAACGTTGAGTTTCAAGAAACCTTGTTGTGGCTTGCTCCAACGTTCTAATGTCGCAGTTGTTCTAGGGTAGTGATCTTCGCCCTTTGTAGCCTCGACCCAAGCAGAGAGATGGGACTGTGTCCTCAATATTAGGCTGTTAACCGGGTCAATGGTTTTGTGATTCCAGATGATGTTATTCCTTAAGTTCCAGATGTTCCAGCATACCATGGCAAGAGTGCAGAACTGATAAGAAGATAGGGACTTCAGTGCACTGCTTACCCACGTTTGAAAGTTGTCAACGTTGAAATGAAGGGAGTGGAATTGAAGATAGCTCCAGCAAGACTTTGCGTAATCACAATCAGCAAAAAGGTGAAGGGTATTCTCATTGCCATTGCTACATAGGCTACAGTTTGTGTTGCAATTGACGTGCCTCTGTCTCAGATTATCCTTGGTGGGAAGGCAAGAGATGCATGCCTGCCAAAGAAAAGTTTTGACCTTCGGTGGAACCTTACAATTCCATAATCTGCTCCACATCATGATATCCTCAGCTCTCAGTTATCCTCTAATAGCTTTATAACAACTTTTTACAGTGAACTTGCCGCTTTCGTCCGGCCCCCAAGTGATTTTGTCATGAATCTGCTGGTTGGGAAGAGGGATCTTCATAATTAAGTTAGCATCTCTAGGATCGAATATGTTCCGAATAGTAGGTTCATCCCAGCTATGAGTGTCGGAATCAATGAGAGCTTCCACTTTAGAATCTTCCATGAAGGGGAACGGGAAAGTTAGAACCTTTGGATTGTTGTTATACGATAGCCAATTATCTCCCCATATTCGAGTATGACATCCATTACCAATCCTCCATCTGGTATGCTTTTGGATGATATCTTGCGTGGCCATCAAGCTGCTCCAGATAAAGGACGTATTGGCACCCACCTTAGCATCAAGAAAAGAAGAGTTAGGATAATATCTTGCTTTGAAAAATTTTAGAGACCAAAGAGTTGGGGTCACTGGTTAATCTCCAAGCCTGTTTACTAAGGAGAGCTAAGTTAAAACCATGAAGATCCCGGAACCCGAAACCTCCCCATTTTTTTTGTGTGCACAGGAAACTCCAACTCTTCCAGATTATCCCTTTGCTCTGGTTGCCACCACCTCTCCACCAATATGAGTTCATGGTAGTCTGAATTGCATTGATTAAACCTTTTGGCAATTGGAAAACCCCCATGGCATAGGACGGGAGAGCTTGAAGGACAGATTTCAAAAGAATCTCTCTCCCCGCTTTAGATATGAACCTGTGATTCCACCCATGAATGCGGCTCACAATCCGTTGTTTGATAAAACTTAGAATCTCCGTTCTGTTTCTGCCCATAATCATAGGAAGTCCCAGGTAGTTGCCGTTGCTTCCACTGTGATGAATCCTCAAAACATTGCTAATCTGATCTCTCATGGTAGTCGGGGTGTTTTTGCTAAAAGCCAGGGTGGACTTGGATAAATTAATGCATTGTCCAAAGGCAGTTTCGTAATCCTTGAGCAGATTTTTTATATTAGTAGCTTCTTCCACTGATGCTTTAAAGAAAACAAAGCTATCATCCGCGAAAAATAAATGGCTGATAGATGGTGCACCTCTGGCTATTGTGAACCCATGCAGACTGCCCCTTCTCTCACTTTCCCTTGTCATTGCACTGAACCCTTCGGCCACCAAAATAAACAAGTAAGGAGAGATTGGATCTCCTTGTCTTAATCCCCTTTGGGGTATAATTGGTCCAATTTCCTGTCCTTTATTCAAGACAAAGTAGCTTACAGAAGATACGCACTCCATAATTAAGTTGATCCATTTAACATCAAAACCCATCTTGACCATGATATTTCGCAGCAATGGGCATTCTAATCTATCATAAGCCTTGCTGATATCCAATTTTAAGGCAGCTAATCCATTCTTCCCCTGACTCTTACATTTCATATAATGTTGCATTTCAAACGCAATCATTATATTATCGGTGATCAATTTCCCAGGGACAAAAGCTCCTTGATTAGCAGAGACCAAACCATCCAACAATCCCTTTAGTCTGTTAGCCAAAGCCTTAGCTAGAATCTTATATGCAACTGAGCATAAGGCAATGGGCCTTAAATCAGCCATAGACTCTAGAATGGACTTTTTGGGGATAAGAACAATCTGAGTGGTATTGATGTTCTTAGGGAGCTTTCCAGTGGACATAAATTCATTGCATAAATCAACCATACTGTCACTCAAGATATCCCAATAAGACTGAAAAAAGCCCAGGTTGAAACCGTCAAAGCTCGGACTCTTGTCAGGGTGCATGCCAAAAACTGCTTTTCTAATCTCAGGGACGGTAAAACGATTCAAGAGCATTTTATTTTGAGAGCTAGTTATGCTAGTATGAATGCAATTCAGAACAGGGTTACAATTACCCGCCTCTGAAGAAAAAATATGTGAGAAATAATCCCTTACCAGAGAGTCCAAATCTGGGTCTTGGGATATCCAGTTTCCGTTCTGATCACGGAGCCTTAGGATCTCGTTGTTCCTCCTTCTCTGTGTGACGGCATTGTGAAAGAATCTCGTGTTGTTGTCACCTCCTTTGAGCCAAAACAACTTTGCCCTCTGCTTCCAAAACTGA